GTGATGAAAAAAGAGACATGTAAAACCCCCCACAATAGAATAACCTCCAAAATGATTGAAAAGTCAACACCTCCAAAAGAATTGTGTGAAAATAATATAGTTACTTAATATATATATATACATAATTGTGATAATTTTTGCTTTCCTATCAGTTTTTGATTCTTTTTGGAGGGTTGCTCTCCACGGCCATTTCATGGCCCATGCTCCGCATCGGCAGAGCCAGGTTTCGGAAGCTGCAAGCCGCTGGGAGGTGCGATGTCATGACTGTGACTGTGACTGAAAATAGGATCTACAGTACCTTCAAAATAGCCTTGTGAATGGGGAACGAATCCGAAAAAATCATCAAATAAAAAAAAATGGGTACCATATTTTCAGACAGACACAAAAGGGAATTGACATGAAACCACCAAACATATCCATGCGGAGTAAAGAAGTGGCTACAGCCATTGACTGGGGAATATGCATGAATGTGATGATCAACACTGATCAATTATATAGTGGATTTTGGGATACCACATTTTCTGACAATCCCATATGATTGCTTGAATCACCTTCCAAAACTCCTCCATTGGTCAAATCTCTTTTCCCTGGGGTAAACATAGACATAGATGCGGAACATGGTCTATTTACAATCATTTATTATAGATGACCAACGAATGGTGAATTTCCACATCCATGTTAGTTGCCGTTAGTTTACATCCAGGTTAGTTACTGTTACCCTCTGGTAAACTAACATAGCTATGGAAAATCACTATTTTTAATGGGTAAATCCACTATAGATGGCCATTTTCAATAGCTTTTTGTATGTTTACCAGAGGGTAGTTACTGTGAATGTCCAAATCCCAACCTTTGGCCGTTTGATTTTGGCCGCTTCCATCCGATCCCGAGTGAACTCTGGATCATGACGGAGCGTCCCCCACTAGCAGGTGAGCGACGAAAGCCAGGAGCAGCCTCAGTGCCATGGTCGAATCTTTAGCTCTTGGAGTCCCAATTTCTATCAATTTCTTGTTGTTAGAAAGATTGCGTATATATATATATATATCTAAAATTAATTATCTAAATATGATGTATATAATTGTATATACCCACATCATCAAGCAATGGAACTATATACACCATATTCCCATTAGTTGTTCGTTGATAAAAATAACACCTTTTGTCATAAACCATAGTAAGCCAATCATATAATTTATAACTATATGATACTATATGGATGTTTCCTAAGTTATGAGGGTACCTGCAGATCATCCCATCATGGATGAGCAAACTATAGTATTGAAAAATCATGGTGACTTGGGGATTCCAATATTTGTTTTAAATTTGAGGTTACTATACATATTTGCATAACATAATTCATCATAATTCTATAATTAGTTTTGATGTTTGTGGATGGCCTGAAATCCCAAACAGGGTTGAGAAGTTTGACCTTCATCCTCATAAGAATTTCATTTTTTTGATGCTTAGAATCCCAAGATCTGTCCTTTAATTTAAGGCAGGTCGTCATTGCCATCGAATTTGGTAAGTGGGTAGCGGATGGTAGCGGAAGTAACATGGCTCAGCAGTCTCCCATTCAGGATTATGCCAAGTAGATGTCCAAGCATGGCTTGCCCTTGACCACCCTTGAGCCAAGGCTGCGACGTCAGGTGCGAAGGAAACCGAATTTCGCCAGCCAGTCAGCCACAGCATGCATGTTGGTTTCCCAATGTTTCCTAGATGGTATAGTCCCGTAATTTGAAGCCTCAAACTTTGGACATCCCGGTCTGTTGATGTCCTACCCTTCCGAGCCGACGGATTTCCAATTGGCAATTTGGCGGATAGCCAGGGAAACCATCCCTGACAATGGCCTCAAACCAGCTTTTGGAATTATAATTATTTTGTGAGTTTCCCAGATAATTGAAATCACCTTCAGTTCATCACTCAGGCATCCCACTTGGAACATCATACTGTACCAAGGCATCCCACTTGGAACATCATACTGTACCACTTAGTAAGGGGCTACTGTAACGACAAGCCTGCTTAGCAAGTCCCCTAAGTGGGTTATCCATGTAATTCCATGCATGTACTAGCATTACACATAAATGAATGTATAAATAAACACATAGATATAAAATGATATAAAACACACACACACAAAAACAGATCTTAAAAACTGAAGACATAGATAAAGACACCAATAGTTAGACGATTGTAAACGGTAACTACAGCTATCATTGCACCGCCAGTTGCAAGCTGCGCCTGCTGCGTGGTCCTGGGACGCTAGCATCGCTTAGGAGCCGATGGGATGGGTTGAAGTGTTGGGAATCTTTTAGGATATTTATATAATGAACTATAAGACTATAATATATATATATACATGATTATCATGATGATAGTACAATTATCATGATATCATATCATAGTATAATATATATATATAATTAATATATAAATATATATATATATATATATAATATGATGATATCTGTATAATGCACGATACTTGGTGCTTCATCCTACTAAGTTTGCAATCCCAGCTGGCCCAACTATTATTGTTGGACCCTATTTATTCTGTTTACCCCACTGAAAAAACCAGGTCTATCAGTGTCTATGATATTCTAGTCTACTTATATAGTAAGTAGGATGTGCCCACCATTTGCAGATCATTTTCCCGGTGCCATGGGGTAAGCGTAGGGCCGCTTTTGGCCGTAGGGTACCATCAGATCCGATCAGAAATAGAGGTTTTAACCAACACAATTTGGAGGTTTAATCAACAAGAATGGGGCTAATCAAAAATCAAAGTCACACATGGCAGACCCCATATCACCCGACTGTTTAGAACATCATTTTCTCCACGCAAGTTGCAATTCTGGGGTATACATACCCAATTGACAAAAGCTTATGGAGATGTATGGAGGTTTCTTGCAATCGGGAATTTCAAAATTATTTGCGCATGGTGTTTCTTAATGGAGAAACCAATAAATGATTAATGCATGAACTTTGGTAAATGCATACTTAAATTCTCACAATAATGGGGTGATTAATGTACTTTTTAACATGTATTTTTGAGAAGCAATACCTAATTACTGGATTCGCTGAAGGACATTTGATGTTTCTTTCCCACAGCTCAATCCAGCGGGTCACAATCCAAGATTTTTTCTCGTATGAGATATGTAAGCTCTATTTGGGTAGTTTAATCATGTGATATTGTATTGAGAAACCATACCAGATTTACCCATTGACTTACCATTTGAGGGTATTGAAATCTAGTACCCAAAAACGCGGGTTTGACGAAGTTTTGGGCCATCGGCCATGAGAATATCATTATATTGCCCAGCTTGAAATCGACAAGATTCTCCTGCCTTTGACCAGTATGGAAAAAAGATCATCCAACTCCAACTATTGCTCTGTGGTAGATCAATCTGGCAAGGGGAAACCCATTTGGTTAACATATTGGAGGTATGATTTTTCATGCTCCGTATGATGCCCATTGACTAGTATTCTTGTATATTCTTGTGACGGCTGCTTCAACCAGTTGCTCATGTTGGATCAGGTGGAGAGGTTGAACCTGGGGACAGCGGATGCCCGAAAAAAGTCTGAGAATGGAGTGGGTCAAACTCGAAGACCTGCTTGGAACCCCAGAATTTGACCATGCTTAGTGTCCTTTTCCTATATAGTTGTTTCAACTATATATATATACATATGTTGATTTCCATCCTACCAGGTCCTACCATGATCACTGTAGTTGACGAGTATTTTTTGGATGGGTCGAAAACACCAAGCACTTTCAATGGTTTTAACCATCCAAGTTTGGTGGTTGGTCGAAGCTCGGGGCACCTTAGAGAGTGGTTTAATTTTAAAGATATTCGAGCGGCCGCCCTAGCGACTCACACACGGATGCAGTGTGCGCTCCGAAGTGTTGAGTGTTGAAGCCATTGCGCAGAAAAGAAGCAATTCCTAGCGATAGATCGGCAGGGGTGGAGTCACTCAATCAGTAGATTGGACATTTTTACCAGGACATCAAACAAAACTCAACAGCACCTAGAGTTTTTAGGTCAACAGCAGAACATACTCTAGTCATCTCGAGTCTGTTGAGTTTTGGTGATATTTTCGACAATTCTGATTCATACCCCACATAATGTTTCCTATCTGACGACTGAATACCAATTTTTGCGGAAGGAAGAAGAGACCTCGCCTCGGTTGCATGGCCATGTCTTTACTGGATGTATTATAGTCTTATGGTCAAACTTATGGTCGTACACTTGTATTTAGGGCTTGTTTGGGCTATTTTGGGCTTAAATGGGTTTGCTACATATCACATCCAACTGGCAAAAATTCTTCTATCAGGGGATCAACAAACAACCATAGTTCGTGACGAAAGATAGAAACACAGAGACCATCTGGGAATGAAGCATCTAAGGGATTGTGACGTGTGGTTGTTTGATGATTGGTTGATGGTTGATGGTTGATGGTTGGTTGATGGTTGATGGTTGATGGTTGATGGTTGGTTCATCGGGATTCCCATGATCGAGTAAATCGAGTATGAGAATCCCCATCAAATCAATGAGTGTTGTCCGTTTTTGCACCATCTAGGGGCTGTCTGCAGTGTTTTGGTTCTGTAGCTCAGAGAAGCACAGAGACTCACAAGCCACGCGACCGCGACTCGGGGCTTGTTTGTTGCGAGGCCGGTGGACAGAAGTCGCTTTTGGGCCACTGCTGTTGAGGCCTCTTTCCAGGCTACAGAGGCTACTGGACGCAGCGGGAGCTGTAAGCTTGGTGTTTGCTTTAGGTTTGTACAAATAGAGCTGGTGTCACAAAGCAAACCAAGGACACTAATATATTGAGATACATTTTGCACCATTGATTGGGAATCACTGCAATTAGAGAACTTGCGAATATATATATATATATATACACATATAATTTTATACATATATCTATTTTTATATTATATATGATATCTGATCCGGCCCGGCACTTGCATGGTTACCCAACTTCAACTGCAGGTTGAATAGCTGGTCAGTATGAGCTTTGGCCAAGCAGCCCGTGGTGCGGCCTCCTTCTTTCCAGAAGACCGGAAGGAACTTGGCGGCAAATCATACATGATTTGAGTGTATGGTGAAAGATCAAGAACTTCCAGAATTTCACATACACTCAAATCAATAATTTGTGAGAACTCAATGGTACATTGCACATTCAGTGAAATCATTTTGAGTGTATGGTATATGGCATGATATGGCACTGAAAAACATGATCACAGCCGAATCAGCCGAATGGTGGTTTCTTGGCCTTGGCCGGGATCCTTCAACGTTCCGTTCCACCAAGTCAGGCAGGGATCGCACGACGCAACAAAGTCCAACAAGAGCAGTTCTGGGCGCCAGATTGGGGTGGCATGCGGCTGTAAAAGTGGTACAGTAATGCCAAGCGCAGGATTGACTTTAAGTCTTGGCCAGAAATCTGGGGAAGTGGCTGGGTTTTGCATGGTTTTGGGGGTGATGAATCCTACCTCGACATTTCTAGTTGGCGATGACTTTCTCTCATATCTCATAACTCATAAAACAAAAAAACATATACAAAACATATAAAACATAGGGGTGGGACCCACCCAAACAACCAGGTTTGATGAGTTTGAATATTTAGCGCAGATGATTTCTTGGAGCAGAATCGGAAGCACTCGCAGTGTTCATGGCCTTGAGTTGTGAGCCACACCCAGTAGTAACTTCGATTGTTTTCACTTGAACATGTCCTTCTACAGAGGGTTCCGTGCGGGTTCCGTGCCCCATCAAGGGGTCCTTGCAAGCGAGGAGTTTAGTTTTTCCCTGGACCTTCACAGAATCCTCAACCATGGGTGCTGGCGGTGTACCATAGGCAATGACCTCTAACTTTATTTTTAAACCTCAGATGCCCTTGAAGGAAGCATCACCCAAAAACCTGGTTCCGATCCGCCAACTCCAAGACATTCCCCAAGATTCGTGGGGGTTCATGCCCCAGGCTGCCCTGGTTTGAGGTTGTGCAAAGAGCCAAAGCCATCCTCCAGAGCCGACTTCGTTGGAGATCTCAGATCTCACCAGTCATCCCAGTAAGGGCTACAACCCAGGATTTTAGACTGGTTATATTGTGAGATGAATTATTATACACAGTATGTATGTATATATATATAATTTAATATATATATATATACATAGTATGTATGTATATAAATGATTATAAATGTATATATACAGTATGTATATATATATATCTATAATGTATGTATGTATATAACTTTAAAAGTATGTGTATATATACACATATTTATAGTTATATATTTTTACACATTGGAAAACAAGGCCGATCCCTTTGACTACCATTTTGGCCGTTTTGTGTCCTTGCCGCCGCCCAAAACCGCTACCCAGTTCGACCCTCCCAACAGGAGAGGTCTCTGGGCGTTTTCAAGTGCACAGCCGACGCCGGGGCCTTGCTTGGGGACCAGAAAATTACAAGCAAAACGATAGTTTTCATGATCATCAAATGTGGGATCATCATTTTTTCTTTTTGTAAATTGTGGTGAGAATGGATGAATTTGTTTTGCCTTAAATAAAACATGGTTTGCGAATTAGATCACCTTCCCCATATATATATACACACATTTATATGTATATATATGTGTGTGTGTATACAGTGTGTAGATATGAACACATGTCTGTACGTACATAACGACATATAATATGCATGACTATTATGCATTTTAATATATATATATCAACGGATACATAATGGATTTTGTTTATGGATACTAAGGGATATTAGTGATTCTTAATGGATATGAAACATACTAATGGTATATATATATAATATTATCCAAAGTCCAAAGATGGTGACCATAAAAATTTGCTGGAAGAACATCGGGATTTTTCCTCCCCCAGGTTGATGCTGGAAATGGGCGACGACTTCGACGGGCCAAGCAACCCATAGCCTGGGTGCTCGGTAGCGAGCTCCGCCTGGGCGATACAAAAAGATGTGGAGAAACCATGGTGAAAGCCTAGGAACATGATGGAACATGATCGAACATGATGGAAAATGATCTACTTCATCTACTTCTATGGTGGGAATAGTGTAGTAACTCAGTAGTAACCTTTTTGTTTTATGATGTTTTATGCCTCATCCATGGGATTATCAACACAAGAAGACTTACGTTGACCAGGGTTATCGGTGACCAAGTGGATCCTCCAAGTAGGATAAACTAACATAGATGAAAGCCATCGTTTCGGAAAAGAAATTGATCTAAACATGGTGGCATTTCCACATCTTTTTCTATGTGAAAGAGGAGGTTACCCTACAAAAATGAGAGGTTAGCCAAATACAAAAATGAGAGGTTAGCCAAATACGGTTTCACCCGCCAAATACGGGTTCGTTTATCCAATTTTAGGAAATGCTAGTTGAAGGGAAACTTTACAGGGCTTACTCTTACCCTTAGATGTACATGAAAACAACCAAGGTTTCCTGTAAAATGACCCTGAAATTAATCCATTGACGAGAGCTGATCTTCGCCTTTGGAAAGACCCTACCGTACCATCTTGGAATGACTTTGGATCACTGACAAGAGGAAATGGCAATGTCACAGAATTTCCAGTCCCTGCTGAAAATGTGTATATATATAAATATCAAATGAATTCTGTGACATTCAAATTATATCAACCCAACATAAATCTGGGACATGGGACATTTCTATCATCAACCCTTGTTGAGTCCCTTCCTTCTTCTTTTCGCACCTAGCTCAGGACGACCAGCTCTTGGGTGCTCCCTCCGGTGTCGTTGGCGCTGAAGCACATCCCACGGGCCTCCCCAACAGGCGTTTGGCGCCTCCGGCGGATCCTTTTGTCCTTTTGGACTCCATGGAACCCCAAAAAACAGCTGAGTTGATGTGAATGTGGAAATTCCATGAAATTCATCATGTGTTTTTCTGTTTTTCCCGCATTTTCATGCATTTTTTGGTTGCGATTTACGTTTTTCAGGGGCATCATCTCATGGATTGTTTTGCTGTGTTTGGTTACCAGTGTTCACTGTGATGATATACTATGATATACTACATGTGTTGATTGTTTTGGCACATATTCGATCTATTTGTCAATTTGTGCATTCTCAGAGGATCATCCCAATTGGCAACTCAGTTGGATGATGCTTCAAGTCGAGATGGCTATGCCGCTATGCCGGAGTTTTTTTTGCGGAAGCCTTACGAGTTTTCAACCAGGGTTGCTCCATCCTATTGTAGGTGAAGGCAACCTTTTGGCGGTAAATAAATGGGTCATTTTACTTCTTTCAGCCAGTTTCCCCGCCTTGTTTCTGGGGTGTTGGGAGCCTGATCGTGGCCTATTTGGTGCCCAAAAAACGGGCACTCTACAGTAAGATCCAATGGCATAACACTTTAACACCACATTTTTCGCATTTTTAGTGGCCACGAATTGGGGGTGAATCCTCATTTCTAGACAGACCAGAATCAACCATACAATATTATTGGATATAATTACCATCAAATATCCAATAATATCTTTCGCAGTACACATCCCAGGAAATATCACCATTATATCATGGCAGTCCACATTGTGGTTGGTTTGGCATTCTCAATATCATGGATTCCATATTTCACATGATATTCCCGTCATATCCCCACAATATTCCCCACAAGGAGCGTACCGCCCAATTATTCCTCGGTTTCTCAACCCCATCAACACAGCTACAAAGTTATAAATTATATAAATCCACTTAGCATAACTTAGCATAACTTAGCTCATCAATATGATCACTTAGCATCATATGATAGGAACATCAATTTTTTTTTGGGGGGGGTCCCAGCATCATGTTCCTATCATCTGGAAAAGACGGGCCATCGCAGGAGGCTCCGCCGGGCCACGAAGTTAAGTCCCTCGGCATCAAAACGGCATCGGCAACGACGGGACGATGGGGATTTCAGCACCAATTTCTGAGGCAATTTCAGAGCCAATTTCCCAGACACTTTGAAAAGAGAAAGCCTCCGGTTATGACTAACATAGCTGCTATAGCTATGGAAAATCACCATGCAAAAAAAAAATAGGCAAACCTCTATTTCGATTAGGGCCATCTATACCATGGCTATATTAAATAAGCAGAGGGTAAATCACCCATTTACAGATTATTTACTGGACAGATGATTTACCTGTTCAAAATGGCGATTTTCCATAGCTATACACATTAAATAAGCAGAGGGTACACAACAAACATATCACAACATGGAAGCTAAACGGCACTAGGAGGGATTCAAACCAGGAATAGGGAACCAAATGATGACCCAAGTCGATGTCCAACAAACGTGATCTGACATACCAAAGAATGATGGAGAACACACAGAAAAAGATAAAAGGGAGGATCTTGACATAACACAATAAGAATAATGAGGGATATAGCATGCTAAAACATCACCAAGCTTGTGAAAAGAAGAACCATTCGGAGTTTAGTGACGGCTGCTCAGATACCAAACAAGCGCAACTTTCGTGAACTGCATCAGAATTAAGGAACCTTGAAATTCACCAACTCACATTTGCATCGCTGTTGCAAAAACCGTTTTTTTCCTTGGTACCGTCGGGTACCCAATCCGAGATTGCACGGTAGAGAGCGAAGAGGCGGGTGGTGTCGAATGGTTCAACCTGGATCCCAAAATGGAGGGATATTTTATGACCAACAACACACCGGGGATATCATGGGGACGTTCATGAGATCTCCTTATGGGCCAATGGGGGTATATATTATATATATTAGGGGCCTTCTCATGTTGGAGACCCAAGGAAGTTTCAGTGATTCAACCATCAACAAAAATCCCGCCCAAAATCCATCAATGAGGTAACCAAATGGCAGGTCTCCGGCCGTCGGGCCTTCTTTGATCAATGTCCGACCCCTGGGGTGCGGGGTAATCCAGGGTGGCACGTGTAGATGAAATCAAAGCGATTTCAGGATTTTTGTTTGTTGCTGGCGTTCCAAGCTTTTTTTCCATGTGCCCAAATGGGAATTCGACAGCAAGGGTACTTCACAGTACATGATGTGAAGAGAAATTCAAGCCTGTCTAATTGGCCAGCAGTGTCAGCACTGGACAGATCACTCTGAAGTTTTTTTTTTAATGTTGTTTTTTCACATTCAATAGTTCGTTGAAAGAGCAGCGTGCCATTGAGTAAATGTACGGTGCCCTCAGCAGAATCCAATTATACATATACATTTCATCCACATACGCATACATATGATAGTTATAACATACACACACATATATTATGTACTACTCTAAAATTATATATATAATATATATATATGTATTTATATATGTTTTTGATAACCAGGCAGTGTGAATGGGATATCCTCCACATAAAATCCAGTCTCAAAAAAGGAGCCCCCATCGAAGTCCCGCTTCCGGAATCCTCCGTGTTCGTCGCCGTGGTGAGTTACTCGTGCTGAAGAATATGCAGAGCTGATTGGCCGACCTGGCCTCCAATCGCTCCGACCTCACTGGGGCAAGGTTTTTTCGAAACTGGAAGTTGGATCAGAGTAGATTCGTGTATGATATGAAAAGGATAGTAAATTACTGTAAAACTATATATATTTGATTCTCATAATTTTGAAATCACACATCGAGGTTTTGGAAGGGAACACAGAAATTCAAGGAGAAACAGGAATGGCAAAAGCCGCAAAAGCCTAATGTGGCTTTATGGTACCCCATTCCATCCCATGTCGTTGAATGGTTTGTGTCTGAAAATCGGATATACCCCCTGGCCATGGCCACTTTAATGGGAACAATGATGATTATATTCAGTTGATTTGGGGGTGTCCCATCATTTTCAGACAAGCCCACTTAAGATAGTTAAGCCGATAATTTACCATATTTTTTTTTGGGTACATCCATAGTCACAGCGATGAGTTCGGGGCCCTTTATTCCATGGATCTCCCATGACCAAGTTACCAAGGCCTCGACCAAAAGAGCAAAGCCTGTTGGTTGAGGGGCCTGGGAACCAAAACGCTTGGGAGCAACATAAATCAACCACAATGTGGATGCCCATGATACAATGGGGATATCGTGGGGATATGAAATAATCGGAGATGTTTTTTTGTGAAGAAAATATGGTGGCTTGGGCAAAGATTAGGATCTACCATGGATACAAATTTGGGCACCAAATTTGTAGCCATTTTGAATACGGAAAATTCAAGAATATTCTGAAAAAAAAGCATGTGGCTTGGTGATGTGGGACCAAGTTTGAGACCTAACCATTCTTAAAGTGCGGAAATGATAGTTTATTAAAACATATTAAAACCACCACATCATTCTGGCATTCTATCTGGCATCTAGTCTGACATTCTATCGGGCAATCTATCTGGCATCTATTCTGACATTCTGTCTGGCATTCTATCTGGCGTGTATTCGGGTCCAGGCGTGCCCAGCTGCATCTGGAGCTCGCGATAAGGTTCGGGTCCAGGCGTGCCCAGATCGGCGACGAGCTGGCAAATATGTAAACTGGGAGAGGAGAAGGAAGGAGGAAGGAGGAAGGAGGAAGGAGGAAGGAGGCAGAGAGTAAGCAGGAGTGAGTGAGTGAGTCAGTGAGTGAGTGATTGAGTGAGGGAGCGAGCGAGTGAGCGAGTCGGCGTGGGCTTAAAAAAAGAGACCCTGACCTGGCAGGTGGGGAACTATTGTATGAGGTAAGAAAACATAGATCGATCACTGTGAATTTTGTTTTGTTCATGGTTCGCAGCAGAAAAAATATGACGAAGCCCCAACTTTCTGGACCATTAGCAAAACTGAAGAATAGCAACAATTGGATTATTTTTTGGGACTAGTTAATCGAAATCCATTTGCACATCCAATTTTTGTCATCTTGATAAAGTTTGATTTTGCCTGGAAGTCCATCGCCAGTGTCTTAAGATTTCTAAACTGCTTCTGCTTCCAGCCTAAGGATGGATTCCAAGTACTTTGCCATGCAGGGTGGCAAACTTGGTTCTGTGCATGCGGTTGATGGAACAGCAAAAACATCAATTTCAATGGTTCGCTGAGAATGGGACATTCCCAGTTTCAATGGTCGAGGATCTTTTACCCAAAATATTCTTTGATCATTTTTCCACTTGAATTGTAATTGCTATTTGGGGGTGTCAATCCCCCAATTTTTCGACGTGCCGGTGTCAGAAATGATCGCCCTTGCCTGCGGTTTCCTCTGGATTTGAGTCCATGGCTTGCTTATTCATCTTATTCCAAGAGACACAGTGGAACAATTCCAGAAGTGAATGGGAAAAACGACGGTTTACCGTAGCATGTCCCGAAAAAATCAAAAAGATGATTTCCGTTTGTTGGCACTTTGTAGAAGAACGCCCGAGCGAGCATTTTTTGATGCCGAGCATATTCAGATTTGGCTGGTGGGGAAAAACGGGATTTCGGTTGGTTTCTGGCAAACCGGATAGCACTCCAAAATGTTGAGAAGACCCGAAGATTATTTCCTTTCAAGTGGAGCATAGCATCCATCCCGAGCATTCGCAGGCAGCATTTCCGGTGCTTCTAAGGTTTTTTATTGTGCATCTCCGTTAGGTTCTTTGGTTCGCTGGAATTTTCAGCACTATATACTTGTCTCAATCCCTACCTGTCATGGGCGGCCCTAAATGCCTGGTTCCTCTCATCTCATGAAATATTTCTATTTTGCTTTGATCAACTAGTTTTTTTTTTGCATTTTCCATCTTTTTGGAGAGGTGTGTGTGTGTGTGCGTGGCTCCATCATTGTGTTTTTGATCATAGGAAGGGGTGGCACAATTTGTGTGTGCAATTTAGTGAAACCAGTGATGTTTACGACAGGTTCATTCCTCAAATTTGTGGAGGTCCAGACTCAGATGCACGATTTCAACTGAAACTTAAAGAAAGAGACATGAAAGAGACTTTTCACTTTTTTTCGACTTTTTTGAGATCTGGAACTTATCCAAATTAGTCGCACTGGCGGATCGATGAATGGGCTCATAGAAAGATGATCTATCTGGGTAAATTGGAGCGACTTCACGTTGCGACCTGACTTTAAATTCTGGTCAGGAAGAGGAATCATCCCAAAGCGACTTTTCAGATTTGTGAGTTGCTATTAGCAAACAATCAAAAATGGTTGACAGATTTCCGGAGTTTATAGTTTCTTCACCAGTTTTGTACTCTAGAGATTGCTATGCAGACCAATATTGGTTGGGGCCCTTCTGTGGGTGTTTTTCACGGAGGGGAACCCACATGGTTATAATATAGTTACCCACGCCTTGGGTATGTAGTCCTTTCACCAATGATGGGAACGCGACCTCCGACTACCAAAATGGCACTCTCTGAAAGTACTTGTAGGGGAGACACCCCAAACAGCCAGTTCAAGGGTAATGACTCAACTAATGGATTTGGGAATGCCATGGAATACCTTATTTTCAATTTTTTTCAAACCCATGTCAAGCTTTGGTGCGAAAGATTGGAGGCACGCCACGCTCATGATCAAGGTCCCGCACAAGCACTTCGACCTGGTTGTTTACACCACACGACATTTCCATTTTCGTAGACGAGACTGTGTAGCGTCCATCCATGAAAGATCATGAAAGCAGGTCTGGCATTCCAGAGTCCCATGAATGAAACATCCGCACTGTGTCCTGGCTCGCCTGAGGTGACATTGAGGACTTGAGCACGTCCGCTTCCGAAGAATGCCCTGAGAGGCAGCAGGGGGTCTTGTTCATGCTCCTCTCTCAGTTTTTTTTGAGCAGCCTTGCCGGAGCAGGCTGAGACTTGACGGTGGGAAGCATGGTCATCAGATCTGCACAGACATTCAAAGGTTTTATTGGTTTGACTGGCATCTTCTTACTCATACAGTGGCGAGAGGCCGCGCAAAGAAGCAGATTCAGTGCCCTCGCGCGGACCTCATCTCAGTCAAAGCTTGGGCTGCGATAGGACATGTGCCATTTTTCAATTTTGGTTTTGCAAGCTTTGTTGTTTTTCAAACACAAAATGCAGGAAACCAAAAGAATCCAAAAGCATCCTTTTAAAGTGTGCATCCCTTTGCCATCACGCGAATCCCAACCTATCCAGCACCTTTGCTCTGGAGCCGTTGAATTTCTCAACATATGTCAAGCACCACGCACGTAGCTGAACTTGCATCGTGTTTGCAAGCCCATGTTTTTTCCACACATTTCATTTTTCACGATATTTTACAACATCTTTGCCCAAATAGTCCTTCGAAATGCTTTAATTTTAGGCGCAGTGGTCAAGGTTGGTGCATGTCCACACTCCTCCAATCTAAGTTGTTCCAACGCCAGGCTCCGAGTTAGACGCATGCTCCAAAGTTTGCAGTTCTTGCCCCAGGATGGAAACAGGTTGGGTTGTTGGGGCTGGGATGGAGCAGATGCTGGAACCACATGTCATGTGGATGTAATGTGTTACACCATACGGAGTTCCAAATTGATGTTGGCCACCAGGGGGTAGCAGCATGTTGGGCTACCCATGTTGGGTAGACGGGGTTTTTGCCCAATCTTCATCTTGTTTTGCACGCGTTCATGTCGACCTCATTCTTTTGTTGCCTCTTGCTCGTTGTGCGTGTGTTGGGGGGCGACAACGTCTCTTACGCTCTCATGTCTTACATATGCTACGTCATTACGTCTTACATGGACTTGCACATAGACGACGTTGCTCTACGTTCTCATGTCTTACATATACTACGTCATAACGTCTTACATGAACTTGCACATAGACTTGGCTGTAACGTCTTAAATGTAATTTCACTCATACCACGTCACAACGTCTTACTTGTATTTGAACTTTTAACCTATACTACGTCATGACGTCTCACATGTACTTTCATATAGACCACGACATAATGTCGCATATGTACTTTCACTTGTACCACGTCAAAATGGTTGCCATGGTGTGCAGTGACCAAGTGGCAGAAAGTCACATGGCGAATCTCAAGAAGTTGCGCAGGAACAACAAATTGTCAGGCTTGCCTCTGGATTGCACACACACACATCGATGACTTATCCGCTTTGTTTAATTTATTCATGAAAATCTGGGGATTGAAATGGTCATGGAAACCTTTGTGCGCTACATGGTGGCTTTTGTCAGATACCACATGATACCACTTAGTTCGCTGAAAAGTGGCGAAATTGAAGCGAAAAAGATGCGCGATCCCCTGCAAGGGTTGTTTCCAACATATATTTTTGAAAAAAACACGGAAGTTGACTTGATGCACAATTTGATGAACACCTTGAACCAATCCATAATATGAGGATCAAAGGAGAGCAATGCACAATCATAAAAATCAGCTTACCATGGCTTACCCCTTACAGAGAAAAGCACATTTTTGAATAAAACAATTCCCTACATCTTAGCGAACTCATTGATGAACATTTTGGAGCTCATCAAGTCGGCCCTGAGATTTGGGCAACCCGTCTACCCAGTGTGCGGATTCAAGGATTTGATTGTGCATGCGCTGTTCCCACATTTGACGCTTTCACCTGTCACTAATAAGTGTACGTATATATAATATATAAAAGATATAAATTATATAATATATTAAAAATAAATACTATATAATATATAATTTATAAATATCAAAAATATAGTATATATATATTTAAAATAATACGTACACGATACAAAAAATATATTTTATGAATGTGTAAATTGTGTTTTTAATTTAATATTATATAATATATAATATTTAAATAATGTAAATAATATATAATATAGAATATTTGATTTAATATATATATACATTGAATATTATATTCATATAATAAACATAAATAATATATATATTATCTAAAAAATATATATAATATCTAATAATATATATATATAATATCTATAATATATTTTATAAATATAATACATATATTTTTCATTTTATACAATATCACAAAATGATAACCCCCTCCCTTTGAACCCCCCCCTACAAGATAAACCTGAAATAAGGCCATAATAAGAATTTAATTGCTATTTGGGCTTAATTAAACCTTATTAAGGCTTAATAAGGTACTATTTAATTTTCAGAAAATAAGCCTGAATAACCCCAAAATAAGCTTTTGACATGGTTTAACAAAATAATGCACATTCCAAGAAATAAGGCCAAATAAGCCCAAAATAAGCTTTTGACATGAAAGCTAATACCCAGAGAAAAAAGACAATGCCGGAATGAATTAATCCAAACCAAGGTCATGACAGAAATACTAGTGCAGAATCGAATTTTTGAGTTACTGAGATACACAAACTGGGATTGACAGCGAGGGTCCTTCGCGCCCTTAGGCTCAGAGCTGTGTTGAATGGTGACAAAACAAGAATCTTTTGGAAAGGACAATTTTAAGTTACTTGTTCACACATGAAACAGTAGGCAATTGGAAATTTCAATTTCACTTAGACAGAGAGGGAAACGGAGTGAACAGAAAGTGAACAGACACTGCAGTTTCAAAACGCTCAGCATTCATGGATGTAGATGAAGATGATGATGGTGGCCACTCGCGAGACGCAAATTTGGTGCCGCTTGAAATTCATAGCCTACCTGATGGTCTTTGGGTCACTGTCATAGACAGGGGACAAGAGCTACAAGCACAGTGGGATGTTATGACATTTTTGCTGAACCTTTTTTCAACGCAAGATGAAGAATCAATTCGATCCCATTTCAACAGCAAAATGTCAGAAATAGAGGACATTCATAGAAACATATGGCCCGATTGTGAAGTGCCTTCACTGTTGCGATCGAAACATGGGGCACAACCTCAACAAGGTGGACTTTATTTGAAGAAACTCGCAATGCCAACATCTTTTGCATTTTGCTGGTTGGTGTGGGCAATTTCCAAGAACAAACGAATGCGTCCGGAACGGGACAAGAGCAAAAAAATTGCAAGAAGGTTGTTGAAACATGTTTTGGCTGTGGCAGGAACTTTGCATTTCCAAATCAAACCTGTTGGTAGGAATTTGCAGGCTACAGCTGTGCAGGTATCAGACAGGAACAGTTGCGTGGACAGCCGTTGCTTCTGGAACGCCGTCCTGAAGGGACGGATTGTGCCTTTTTGGGAAGCAAAAAGAAATGATGTAGCGGATGATGATGTAACCTCCACCTGGGACCGGCCTAACTGGATTGATTACATCCTTTTTTCACTAGATCCAAAGAACGGGGCTCGCACTCTCCTACAACCGGTGATCTGGACAATTCTGGCGCAAACAGCGCTGTGGGTTGACAACAATGTTTCAAGATTGGCTCTGAGTACTGATGATCGTCGTCAAACCCGTCAAAAGAACCAACAGGAGCATTTACTTGTAAGAAATGCTGTAGCCATTGATGCCGCTGTGTTCTTGCTTTTTGAAAACGACCCTTTGAAGTGCATTTGAAAACATTTTATCATTTTTTTCCTCCGCTACGTGTGTTTTGTTTATGGTTTTAATTTTACGCCTCATTCAATTGTTTCCCCAGTCGCTCACAGCACTTGCAAGGATGATACTGGTCTCACTGTCTGCAAGTTGCTAGATGACTGGAAGTTGGACAGCATGCAAATCAGCCGATTCTGTTCGATGGTTTGTGAGTCTCGATTGCTTTCTATTTATTTTGTTTTTCTCATGACGAATCGTTTTTAAGGGCATTTTGAAAATACTACAGCAATCTACAACAATGACTTACTGCAATCTACAACATGATGCAAGACAAAAGGTCCCAAAAAAATAATTTTGATGGGGTGTGGAACAGTAATTTATTACAGGGGTCAGACATGTGAATCAAAACTGCAGTAACTGTTTTTTTGGCTCACCGGCCACTGAAGGAAACATACTGGGCAAGAGCCAGAGCGGAACTCAACAAGTGCAATGTTTTCCACGTTACTTGTCAGCGAGCAAACATCCAGAGGGGGGCAGGGCGTGCAAATAAATCGCATAAGACAGAAAAAATAAAAATTGACCGGGATTAAGAACAGTGGGATTATCTCAGTGCAGAAAAAAGTAAGATGCATTTGTTTTGACGTCGTTGCAGCCAGGTTTACATCGATGGGTCGAGCATCGCCGGAAAGCCAACAGATTCTTGGATGCACTCAGTCGTTGATGTAACATGTAGGGACGGCTACACTCTTCAAAAAAAAACACTTATATAATTAATTGGGGGCCGGGTTGGTTTCCAACATAAGCTTCGCCCTTCACTCTGTTCAGTTTTTGCTTTGACCATGACTTCATTTTCCGCCCAGGAACTGTGCTATGTTTGGTCACCAAACATTCTTCGTGGAGCATACGCTCCGCCGCTGGTGTGGAACCCCAGCTTAGGAGGAAACACGTTTCAGAACCCTGCAGCAAACTATAAATGTTTTTTTTCGGGGTAGTTTGGAAAACAAATCATGAATCACAACTTTAATTTGTCCATATTGAGAGAAACTTCCTTTTGCCGCCCGACAGTCAGCAGGAGAAGCCAAAATTTCAAAACTTCTCAAAACTCAAAACCACCATGAATGGAAGTACAAAACAAAATTCATAATACATGCAATACATGCATATATGATCATATAAGTACAGACCAAAAAAAAAACTGCAAATGACGATCAAATCATCCTGTTGATTACCTTATGTCATTTGACTGAAGCTATGCATGTTCTTTTCAACAAGACCTACTCACTGTTCAAATGGTTTCACAGCGCGATGCCATGCTGTCACAGTCGGCACCAACGGCATTCGTGTTCAGATGCTGGGTCTTCTATGGGATTTGCGTCGCTTTCGCGATATACGTCAAGTGAACCTCCTTCATCCAGGGGATCAAGTTCAGCATCAGTTCCTCCAAATTGTGATTTTAACGTCAATGGTTTTCTTTTGCATCCCCAAACTATCCTGTAAATTTTGGTTTTTTAAGTTTTTTTTGGGGAGCATTGGGGTCTCTGTTTGAGGCCAAGCATTCTGATGGCGAACGGTTACGGAAAGCAGCAGGGGCTCTTTCAATGGCTGTTGATATGGTACTGAAAACTGTCCCTCAAAGCGTTTTGAAGGATCCTGGGGCAAACAAACTACTGTTTTAGATCGGGCATTTAAAATTTAGTTTAGTTTATAATATATATATATTACTTTTCAAGTAAATAAATAAGGTTTTCAAACAGAAAGACATCGAAAAACAGTTGCATCATCATCAGAAATCATCCAGCACCCACAATGTCAGCACCAGCAGCGCCAACGCGCAGGAATCGATGCTCGCAAAGGCATCGCGAACGTCCAGTAGCTGTACGGGAACAATGACCTCAGAACTCAGTCTGGTGTCTCTGGAATCCATAATCAACACCAATAGTACTGCCCCGTTCACAGTGCGATTTACCCCTGTGAGTTGTCATGAATC